ACATTGCTTGACTTGTCAATCAAGTGACATACCTACCTCAGATTTACCAAGGCAACTTAAAGTTAGCATATCCAAAATGAACCATATCAATCATTGTCTCTCTGTCCCCCCCACCTCTCTGCAGTGATCAGGATAGAAAGGCATGTGCTCTACCACTGAGCCACACTCCCCCCTTTGTTTTGGTGGCATTGGAGTTTGAACTGAGGACCTCACACTTACTAGGTAAACACTCTACTGCTTGAGCCATATCTCCAGCCCTCAATTCATTCTTAAAACCTCATCCTCCCTTAATTGCCTATCCTGATCAGTGATAAATCACTACTTAGATATCCAAGCCAGACGTCTTCCTCAGAAACCCTGTTAAATTAATCTCTTAACTTTTGTTGCTGTTTAATTGATATCTCTAAACAGAACCTGTCCTTCTTCCCATTTTTATCCTCCATTGCATATCTATTTTAATTTGTACATTTTTATTCCAGTTTTTATTACAGTATGCTGAAATTAGTATTCATTGAGACAGATTCTTTTTGTTCTTTGTAACAGTAATGTTAAGGAAGAAATGGATGAGAGAAAATAATCCTGAGCCTTTTCTTTTAGTTCATTAATCCATTTAATATTTATTGACTGTATTCTATATGTCAGGTACAGTGCTAGCTAATGAAGATACAGTGTAATTGTCCAAATTTTATTTGAAACAACATCTAAATAATGTCACAAATGCTTAAAGCCATGGTAATTGATACGAAGAATTATTGGTTCCTAAAACAGTTTATAAGAGGGCCTCTAACTGTGTTATGGGCCTGCTACTGTGTTATAGACTAAAAATGCAGCTGGATGGGGGTCAGGAAGGGCCATACATGCCATGCAAAGACAACAGCAAAAAAAAAAGACTAGCACATCAGTATAGTGTCAGATGGTACTTTGGGGACCTTTCTCCTCAACTGGGTCTATAGCTTCTGAACCATAAAGAGTGCATTTTGTACTAAATTCTTAATAACAGAACAAATTCAAAACCAGGCTTTTCTTGAGTAAAAGATACTTGGAGCTATTGAAAATAGCACAGAATTATGTAAATTATTTCACATCTTTCTTTTATTCCCTATTTCTTTCCTGTGATCTTCAAATTCCTTCTGTCTTTTTTTTCTCTTGTCTCCTTTGCCACTTTTGATACACTGTGTGTCTGTGTTATAGTTGTCTGCTTTATTCTGTCATTCTCTGCTCCCCTTACCTCTTGAATGGTCTTTCTTTCTTTCTTTCTTTCTTTCTTTCTTTCTTTCTTTCTTTCTTTCTTTCTTTCTTTCTGTCTGTCTGTCTTTCTTTCTCTTCCTCTTTCTTTCTTGGCTTTTATCCAAAACTAGGATAAGAAAGTAAAAAGGATTGAAGTTAAAATGCGTTTTGTACACATACTAATATATGTTTGCATATGTACATCCAAACTTATGATATCTTTTTTCAGTCTCTTATTATTTTGCTAGTTTTAAAAAAACATTAAGTGTGGCACTGTTTGAAAAATGAGAATAAAAGCAAATAAGTCAGAATTTTCTGATTAGGTGATCACAAGTTCTTTATCATGTGAGGTCAGTATTTTGCTTCTGTTAAGCAAGATGAATGACTGTAGTTTCAGAAAGGAAAAAAGATGAGATTGACTTATTGAGGGATAAATCAAGAAATGTGACATTTCATGCATGAGTCTTTTCACTTAGAGTACAAGGTTGTCAGTCAGAATTTACATGGTATAGGAAATCAATTGAAACTTGAGCCCATGAACATTTACTTCAGCAAAATTCTTGCTAATTATCCTGACTATGTCACCTTAGACTATAGTAGGCATAAGTTAGCATTCACAAATGGTTGAAATCTTTTGTCTAATTGTAAACCATATATTGAGATATAATTCATAGATTGTGAACTGTGTTTCATGTAACACCAACCATTATTTTAAGTCCTTATTTAAACCAATAAGGTTTTGTATGTAGTACATGCTACTAGTAAACCTTTGTACCTAAAGTCACCTGATATAGAAAATTGAAGGCCTTGTGTAATTTTTGTTAATTGTTAATCTTTAGCAAGATTATGAATGATCAGATTGGAAAATTATGTCAAATGCATATCTTGGCATTTACAGAATATTAAAATCAAAGTTGTAGTCTCTTTTAATAATACTCTGTACCAGTAATGAGAAAACTAAAAATCTATGGTGCAAATCTAACTTATCTGTTAATAAAGTTTTATTAGAACATAACCACACCCATTCATTTATATGTTTGTCTTTTGTACTACAAAGGCAAAGTTTAGTAGCAGAGAACAGACAAATCCAAAAATATTGATTATCTGGCCTTTTACAGAAAAAATTTGATGATCACTGCTCTATATAATCAAGATAAAATATATAATCAGTCCTTGACATGTGTGATAAATACATCGAGACTATTTATTTGTGTATTTTATTTAATTTATTATTATACAGTCTTGCTATACAGCTGAGGCTGGCTTGTAGCCAGATTGGCATCAAACTCACAATCTTTTTGCCTCAGCCTCCTGAGTGTTAGGCTTACAGGCATATAGCAGCATGCCTGGCTTGATCTTAAGACTTTTAATGAGGGCTAGGGGCTTGGCTCAAGTGCTAGAGCACCTACCTAGCAAGCACAAGGCCTTGTGTTCAAACTCTAGTACTGCAACCCCAACACACAAAAAAATGAAGACTTAAAAAAATACAAATAGCAAAATATAAATACTGGCTGTTTCTCTTTCTAATTTGAGTTTATATTGAAAGTTACATGTGCATCTGCAAATTTTCAAATCTTAACTTTTTTTTAATGTTGATTAGGTAGAATATTAATAAAGCCAGATTGAGATCCCAACATTAAGTGGTTGATTTTGTTTATTCCTGTTCTGTCAGACCTAGCACACTAGACTCAATAGAAATACTTCAAATTTGTTTATCAGCAAATGACAAATCTTGCATTATTTATTTTTAGGGACAATCACACAAATAATTTAAAGTCTGAATACTAAATTCATGGGCCTAGGATATTGTTTAGTCCTTGATGAGCAAATTTAGTTTTGCCTTAAAAATTTTTAATTGGTAACAGGAATTTTTAATATTGGACTGAATACAATTATTTCAACCTTTTTTTTTCCCCCTGCGATGCTGGTATTGTCTATTTCTCTTTTTCTTTTTTTTTAATTGTTGTGCTGGGGGTACATTTTGGCATTTATAAAATTTCTTACACTATGTCAATTGTATCATACTTGAATTCATCCCTTCCATCATTCTCCTTGATCCTCCCTTTCCCCCCCATACCTGGAATAGTTTCAGTAGGTCTCATTTTTCCATTTACATACATGTGTGCACAGTATTTGCTGTATTTACCCTCCTACACCCTTTCTCCGCCACCTTCCCCTCCCACTGGTACCCTCCCAGCATAGGACCTATTCTGCTCTCCTATTCTCCGATTTATCTCAATCCTTTCTTGTTGAGAGGTATTAATTTGAAACATGTGAACTCTTCATCTCCCTTGCCTCAAAGTCATAATTGTTCACATTGCAGTGCACAAACACAGCTTATAAATATTGCATAAAAATTCCATATACTTTTTGTTGGGCTAGTTATTTGAAATATACAAATTAGATACACTGATAATATCTTCTTGGTTGTATATAATTCTTTGAAACTAAAAATGAAGACATTACCTTAGTTACTACATTTTTTAAAAGATCACGTGTCTTAACATTTTCAGTTTTCAAGTTTAGTAAAGTAATTATGGGATTTTTAAATATTTAGATTGGATTGTATTGAGGAACTACCATTATCAGCTCATAGTCTGATTTCACCTGAAAAAACAAACTTAAGATAAATATTTCCCACCAGATATGACTACCTTAAAAATCTTACTTTTTAAACTGATGGTTAAATGTTACTGCTGTTTTTCAAGTACTTTTACTGTGACCATAAATAAGTGTAAGAACTGTATACTTTTCTGCTATGTTTTTCAGTTTAGTAAAAAAGAAGTGGTTGTCTTCACAGTTCTTATAGAACAAACTATTGTTAAACAGGTATCTTTGGAAACTTGATTTATTTTGGATGAAAAATATAAAAATAAGGCTATTTACTCTTCTTGAAATGTGAATCTAAGCAGATATTAATAGTTTAAGGAACATTGTTATATATAATTCAGAATTATTATTCTTATAGTAGGTAAGCTTGTATAGAAGCAGTCTTGATATATTTATATTTTTTCTATTAAGATGCTATGTTTTAAAATTGCTACTTTGTTCCTAAGTATAGAAATTTTATGCACTTGTGAAGTGTGCAACAATTTTGTAGCATGTTTATCCTTTTTTTGTAAGAAACACTGTTAATCTTGTATGAGACAAAATGCATTTATGAGGGGAAACAATTTACTTGTTCTTTAAATTGAATGACTCCATTTATTATGCAAAAGACAAAATAGTACTCAACTATAAAATGTGGTCCACTTTTGGTCAGCCTTTCTGTATAGTATATTTGTCTTAACAGATAGGTAGCAGCAAGAGATTTTCAGTTCAAATTTAGTGTAATTATTTGTCATTGCTTTTGAGGGCACATAACTAAACTTTGTAATAAAAATACTTGTTTTACTTGTGATGACATCCAAAAAAGAGAGGAAATACAGTTTCTGATGAGAATTGAAAGTCCAGAAATAAATATAATGATAAGAATGAGTGCTTCTATCACTGGGGAACTTTCTTCATCTAAGCACATATGAACAATTGATCCTTGTAGTCATATATAGCAGTAAACATTAATAACTTAACAGTCTGAAGTCAGTGCAGAAGATATAGAGCATTATTGAAAGATGGAGTCGTGCAGGTGGCACTTTAATATGTTCAGTGTCATGGTTGACTCTAAAGACTAGTCGAATGAAATTACTTGAGGTTCTAAAGATTTAAAAAGCGAACTCATTTTGCTGCACTAAGGAAATGCTACTGATCAGGCTTTCTGTGTCCCTTTTTTCTAGGCTAGAAAATATTAACCCTGAAGAAAATGACATGGTAAGCCATTCTCTGAGGAGATTTCTTGATGTCAGTCTTATATCTTAGAGGCTTAAGTTCAATTGAGTGGGTTTCAAGAACTAAGATGTGGGAAAAAGAAGAATTGACACACTAATAATGTACATCTTTGCTGCAATATGAAAATTCAATAACTTCACTCAGTCAATTTACAATTCACATGTGCCTATTAATTAAAACCCTATATTAAATAAAATATATTAAAACCTCATGTCTGACTAACATATAATGGTGTTGGTAGACATTACAGGAATTACTGAACAGAATAAACAATGCAGACACAGGGATAGCTATTCAGAAGAATGGAGCTATAATTGTGGATAGAATCTACAAGACCAAGGAATGTAAAAAGAGAATAACTGCAGAAGAAATGAATGCAGTGATAGAAGAACGGGATGCTGCTGTGTCTCAGGTAACTCTGCATGTGTCTGGAAAAGCATATACTTACTATTTCCCCCTTTTTTTAAACCATTAAAAGGTGAATTTTACCCAGATATTCTTAATTCACATTAGCTTTTGCATATAATTAATGCCATCTTGATTTGATATGTTAAGTATTTGCATATTTTATACCACTTCTCAAAACATGCATCTTCTTTTTAAACAAAAGTTAATGTTTTGTCATTGCCTAGTAAAATAAAGCATTTTAACACATGTTAATTACATGTTAATATAATTATATTCTTTAATCGCTTTTGTATGAGACTTCCTCCTGGAGTTACAGTTTTATGAGAGCTGAGACTATGTCTTTATTACTCTTTTATTCCTGATGCCTTGTGCCCTTAGTAAGTGTTGGTAAGTGGGTCAGATTATTAATATATTCTTTTCTTAGTATTGCTTACATCTTCTTGCTCCAACCCAAACTTGATTTCCCCTCTGAAGCTACTGGCTTCACTACAGTCCTCTCATATGATAGTTTTATGCTCTTCCATACCAGTCAAATCATTGGTCCTGGAAGCTAATTCTCTCTTTTAGGTCATTGTTAATTTTTCTTCTTAAATGCCTACACAATCAGACTGCATACTCCCCACACATTGTTGTTGCAGTCATGTTTTATCCCTTGTTTCATATTTAAGGCTCTGTTTCACTGTTTCTTTCTTCAGGCTACTCATGTCATAATTCTTGGTGGTTTAAATGTCTTTGTAGATGATGTTTTAAATATTCTTACCTCTCATTTCCTAGAGTTTCTCCATAACCAGTCTGTGACATGCAACTTCTTCTGTCATTTGCTTATAATAGGGTCATACCCTATTCTTGGTCATTACCAGTCTCAATTTCAAGCATCTGGTTCTGACCTCTACCTACTATCTTTCTAGCTCATTTATTCTCGAACTCTAATTCCAGCAATTTTTCTTCTCCACTGTCACCTGTTTGTATGGATCTTGGTAAGTCTTTTCTATCCCTCAAATCCTTCATGTTCATTTCTTATCTAGCTTAGATTTTCATAGGGCACCATAATTACCAGCTTTGATATAATATAACTTCAGTTCTCTTTTGTCCCACTCACTGAGTAAAACCAGAGTCTATTAAATTCATCTTCCTATCTGTTCCACAGCTTCACATGTCAGACAAAAGTCACAAAAATTTGCCAAGTGAACTTAATTTAAATTCATGACCACTGTCTTCAAGAAGGCCCTCATTGTTGGCTAGCAATCTTGCCTTTCATTAGTCTATTCACTCTTACCTCTGGATGACTGTTTTTAACTCTTCTCTTGTCACTTTAGACATACCTCTTGATCCCAATCAAAAAGAGAAGTTAATTATCTCTTCAACCATTTCATTATCCACCAGCCTACCTGCATTTCCACCATACCCTCTGCCTTTTTTTTTTTTTTTCTACTATATGCCTCAGTACTAGTTCACATCTTTTCTAGCCTGGTCAAGGTTACCTATCACTTCACTAATTGTTTCTTTTCTCTCCTACTAACATTTCCCATTCATTTCTCTTATTGTCCACAATGCTATGTTTTTCATGGAGGCTGGGTGGAAGTTTTGGTAAGTCTTGATCTACTTGTGATTAATCCATGTACTTTGGGTTAGGCCTCCCAAACTGAGAGCTGAGTAGTCATAAGTGCCCTACTCCTGGTATATCCTGTATTCTCGTGTTTGTTCCTCACATTGTAAGGCTGGAAAACTGTCATAGTGTACCCCCCCACTACAACAATAAAAAAAAAATAACAGACTGGAAAATTCCACTATTTCTTCAATTTTGTCATGTCAGTCCTATATAACTGTAAGAGCTTAGAGGTTTCTCTGTACTCCAGCAGGAACGCTCCGCTTAATCCAAGCCTGATTTTTCAGCCCCTTTCCCATACCCACTATCTGTAAAATGCTCAGGGGAAAAGAGAAAAAAGTCTGTAGGCCTTAAATCACCTCTCCAGTTAGCCTCTCTTCAGGTTTTAGCAACTCAAGTCATTATTGTAGCAATACCCTCTGATGGCTGTATACAGATGAATGTTGTGTTTAATCTGGCTTTCGTACTTTTGGCTAGAGCATTGATCTGCCACAAATGAATCTGTGCTATCCAGTTGTGGAAGTCTGACATTTATCTTCAGATTAAAAATGAAAACATCCTTAAACTAGAAAAATGAACACCCATTTTTAACTTTTTGTTCCCTTCCTAGCATATTCAATTTTAGACAATTTATTTTAATGGTGAAGAGATAGCTTAAAACTATACGTGCTTGGAAACAATTATAGTATAAACTCAAATATCAGATTTTTATCATTCATTATCTTAAGTTAACTAAAAATGAACACATAGAACATGATTAAATATTGACTGCTACCCATTCCCTCTTCTGCTTCCACACTACTTCTCATGGTATAAAAATGATAAATGAAAAAAGAAATCAATGCTTAGTAATATTTGTTAACAGTTCTTTAGAAATAAATCGATATTATCTACCACTGTAGTATATTTATGATTATATATTATTGGAAAGCACTTGTTGAGGAATTAATTTGCATTTGCATATTTATAAATCCTTGGGCCCAAGAAATATTCATTTTTATTTTGTGCTTTAATCATCCTATATGTAAACTTTTGAATTACTGTCTTGTACTTCTGAGTCCAAACATTTTTGGGGTTTTTTAGACTAGTCTTTAATGTCAGGGAAATGTTTACAATCTGTTGTTAATCAGGGAAGGCAGATACAAAGTAGCATTTACAGTATGATTTATTTTAAAAAGTAAAACAGGGCTGACAGAGTGGCTCAAGTGGTACAGTGCCTGCCCAGCAAGCATGAAGCCCTCAGTTCAAACCTCAGTACCACCATAAAAAATTGGTTAAGAAAGAAAAACACAAGTTTGCAAAAATATTAGAATATACCAAAATTTAATATTGTCTTCTTGGAAGGTGGATTATAGGTGATTTTTTTTTTTTGCTCTGTCAGGGACTTGAACTCAGGACTTCACACTTGCAAAGTGCTTTACTCCAATCCATTTTGCTTTGATTATTTTTTTATTTATTGTTACCAGGACAGGCTTCTTTTATTTTTTATTATCATATTATTGTTGTGCTGGGGGTGCAGTGTGACATTTAGAATTTTTCTTATAATATATCATAGTTGAATTCACCCTCTCCATCATTCTCATTTATCCTTCCCTCCCCCCATTCCTGGAATAGTTTCAGCATGCCTCATTTTTCCATTTTCATACATGAGTACATAATATTTCCACTATATTCAACTTCCTGCACCCTTTTTTATATTCTCCCCCTTCCACTGGTACCAACCCCTAGACAGGACCTGTTTTGTCTTCCTGTTCCCAGTTTCCAAACTTTTTTTAAACTTAGTTTTTTAAAAATAATCTGTGAGTTGCAGAAAAGTTCCAAAGATAGTACAATACAGAGAGTTCCTATATATTCTTCACCTAATTTCATTCTCCTGTACTTTTGCCATGTTATATTACTGTGGTATGTTTGTTAAAATTCAGAAGCTAACATTGGTATATAAATATTAATTCAACTCCACGTTATTCATATTTCACCAGTTTTTCATGAATGACTTCCTTTTGCTGCAGGATCCAATTCATGTTACCACGTTTAGTTCTTTGTTATTCTATCCAGGCTCCTCTGGTCTGTGAGAAATTGTTAGTGCATCTTTTTTTCCCCAGCCATGACCTTGACAGTTTTAAGGATATTGCTCAGATGTTTTGTATTTTATCTCTGAATTTCAGTGTATTTGAGAGTTTTCTCAAGAGAAACTGAGACTTTGTGCTTTGGACAGAATACCAAAAGTATTTCACCTTATTTCCTGACAATACTATATCCAGAAAAATTTCTCTCTTCCTACATACATACTGAAAATATCAGACTCAGTGATAATTTTTTTATTTTGATCCATTGGATAATGTTCCCATCTTTCAAATCAAGTTAAAGTCATTTATTTACTTAAAATAGCCTGGTTAAATTCTTATCTTTTTCAGATTTTATACTTGTATTTATAACAAATTCTCCCATGGAGCACTGAAAGCCTTAAAGTCTTTCATTTTATGAATTAATGACTTATAATTGGCATTTATTTGATAAGGAATTATCCATCAACTAACCCTTTCCTTCTTTCTATCATTTATTGGGCCAATTCATGCTTATATATTTTATTCATATTGGAAAAATACCTAGAATTAAAGGGTAAAGCTGGAAACTTCCATCTCTTCTGATCCTTTTCTAAGATCATTCACTTTATCATTCCAATGTCCTAGCCTACTTCTGTTGTTATAGGGTGGATACTTACAAGCAAAATGAGTCTATTTAGCCCTCACTGTTGTAAGTTGAAAGTCCAAGATTGGGTGGCCTCATCTTTTCAGTCTCTGGTGAGGACCTGTAGACAGATGGCATCACAATGGTAGAAGTACATGTGGAAAAGATCATATGGTGAGAAAGGAAGTTAGAGAGATTCAGGCACCAGTCTTGCTCTTTTCATAACAACCTCTCACAGAAGCTAACCAAGGTCCTGCAGGAACTATGCTAATCCATTTTGATGACAGTTCCCCCATTGAACTAACTACCTTTTATTCCAGCCTCAGTTCTTCCATCTCCCAATACTGCTCCACTAGAGACCAAATTCCTCAAACCATAACTGAACCATAGTACCATACAAACAAAACATTTAGGATTTAGCATTTTAAATACAAGGATGTTCATAGAATTTTAAGTTTTTAGAAACTATCCACTAAATTAAGGAATCTTATCTATGACTACATTTTAATGTATCTTATATTCATCTTCTGTTAATATCTAGTTACTGGTATGCATATAAATCTCAGAATATTTGACAGATAATTAAATATATTCAAATAATCTCTGTTATCAGTAATTTTCTAAGTCATGTCATCTAGGCTTTGAGGCAGAAATGGATTGAGGTCACACATCAGTAACCAAGAAAAGAATCATAGAACTAGCCAGTGTTG